CTGTTTGCTGCATGATCCAGTCCAGTCGACCACAATCAGGAATATCATGGGGGATAGTAGGCAACCTTGTTTCACTCTTGTCTTCACTTCACTTCAGTGGCATCACTGAGCTTCCCATTGTGAATTACTTGGCTGGCATGTGGCGTCTTCATAAAGTTGTTGAATGAGGCGGATAAAGGTTTCTGGCACTGAAATCGTAGTGTTGAAGCAGTTTCCAAATCACTTCTCAGTCGACGCTGTCAAGGGCCTTCTCAAAGTCGATGAAGTGGAGGTAGAGTTGAGTTGACTGCCATTCTATACTCTGTTCTATGATGATGCGTGGTGCAGCGTTGCAATTTGGTCAGCACATGATTTGCACTTCCTGAATCCAGTCAGCCAGCCTGTTCTGATCATAGTTTTGAATCCAGTGCATCCTCTCCAGCCTCTCCAGGATGATGCGGCTTGATATTTTGCTTGATTTGGGTGGACAGTGGAGTGATTCCGCTCCAGTTCTTGCAAACACTGAGGTCTCCCTTCTTCGGCAGTTTGACAAGATGGCCCTTCTTCCAATCTTCATGTACCTTCTCTTCCTTCCACATCTTCTGCATTAGTGTTGTGAGCATATCCGCTATTGTCTCTGCGTCTGTTCTCAGTGCTTCTGGCGGGATCCCATCTGGCGCTGCTGCCTTCCCACATTTCAGTAGCTTTATGGCGTTGAGGACTTCCACTTTTGTTGGAGGATTTATGTTCACTTGTAGTTCTGTGGCTGGGCTGCAGGTGGTATTTCTGGACGAAGTGCAGGTGGTGGTGGTGGTCGATTCAAGAGTTTTTTGAAGTGGTCAGCCCATCCTTTCCTTTGTTTCTCTTCTTTCGTAATTAAATTTCACTCATCATCTTTTATTGGTTTCATGTGTGTTGTGATCTCTTCCATAACAGATAGTGACCTGGTTATTTGATACAATGTTGTCAGGTCTCTATCTCTCCTACCAGCAGCCTGTTCTGCTTCACTTGCCAATGTGTCGTAGAAGTGTCTTTTGTCTTTGCGTGCACTCTTCTTCACTTCTTTGTCCAGTGTAGTGTTTCATACATTGTACTCAGTTCCTCTTGTTGTTGAGCATCCTTGTACTGGTTTATCTTCTGCTCCACTATCCTCCTCTCCCTCCTCGATCAGCTTCCATGTGTCCATCGAGATCCATTCCTCAGCTTCTTTCTGCTTCCTGCGTAGCATAGCATTGTATAATTGTGACCTTCCTTCCTTTTGAGTTGAACCTTACTGTCATGATTCTGATCCTGCAGGAGGAGATTGGTTCCCACTGCATGAGAGAGAGCCTTCGATGCTGTTGGGGACATCATGATAGCCATTCCAATACTCAGTGTTCTTGTTGTTGTCGTCTGGGTGACAATATTGGGGTAGATTATTGATTCTCCAGTTGACAGTTTGGAGATTCCACTCCCATTCCATCTGCTTTCGCAAATTCCAAGCACTTGAATGAGATACCTTCTCATCTCGTTTGCAATCTGGGCTGCCTTGCTGGGCTCAAACGTGGTGCGGATATTCCATGTCCCCACGTTTACTTTCGCTTCTTGAAGGCTTTCACCAACTGACGTCATTTCGCCTCTCCGATTCCAGCGAGGAATAATTTTATTATTTTTTATATACATCGTTTGTGCTTTGAAGTTTGTTTAGAGGTTAGATTTGTTTTAGGGGGTAGGGTTGATAGCCCTATGCCCAACCTTCCCTCTTTACCCGGGCTTAGGACCGGCTAGTAACTAGTGAACTAGTTAACCAGGCGAGGTCGGGCGGATAATATGCTAACAGTCAATGTGAACTTTTTGAAGAAAGATTAAATATGATACGGTTGTGTCAAAATCAGGCCTTATAGACCTGTCTGTGTACTAGTTCTCCATCGATTGTCTACGTACTTTTGTCCCACTGATATCCGAATTGTGTTTTTTAGATATCATTATTATCCAGAATTTCCTCTCCCACCGAATGCAACGTCCACTTTGTAACTGGTTGATTTTCACACCTAAAGGTTGAATAACAGACTTTCGTAGAAACTTCATATATTTGTATAACCGCGGAAAAGATCCTAGAAGATCTGGATTTCGCCAGTGATGACTTGTGTCTGATGTCACACAAACTCGAAGATCTACAGGCAGAAGCTAACAAGTTGACAGAAGAGGCAGGGCAGCAAAGATGGGACTTCAAGTGAATATAGAGAAAACAGAGGTGATGAAGATGCCCAACCAACAACACCAACACCACCACCAACAACAAACTGAAATCACCATAAACGGGAGAAACCTAAAGGAAGTAGCCTTCTTCACCTATCTAGGCAGCACTGTCTCAACTACAGGCGCCACAGGCCCAGACGAGGACGTCAAAGTCAGGATCAGAAAGACAGCAAGACAAACGTTCATTAGACTGAAACCAGTGTGGAGATCGTCTGCACTCAGCATGTGGAACAACATCCGGATTTTCAACACCAACGTCAAGTCAGTGCTCCTGTATGGCTCAGAGACTTGGTGCGTTACGAAGGGGATTTCCAACAAACTACAGACATTCATCAACAACTGCCTACGCTGGCTCGTTACTGAAGATCAGATGGCCGGAAAGAATAATCGACAAGGAACTCTGGCTGGCTGGCTACGAACCGATCAAGAACCTATCGCTGGACAAATATGCACTGGAAGGAATTGGAGATGGATTGGATTGAGCATACACTGAGAAGGCCGACTGAGGACATCACGCGCCAGGCTAGTTGTCCAGTGGGACCCCGATGGGATGCGACGAGTTGGGCGTCCGTGGTGAGGGTGACATGGTGGAGATCGTGCGAGTAGGAAATGAGAGCTTGTGGGCTGTCGCGGAGCCAGGTTGAAAAGATTTCAGAGAAGAGAGTGGAATGGAGACGTGCTACTGAATCCCTTTTCTCCATTAGGTACCCATGGGACGAATAATAATAATAATAACTGTTATGGTTTTTATTCTCCGTTGTTTTACTGGATCAAATTGTTCGACCTCTATTTGTATATGGGCTCCTATACGGATGCCTCGATATTGCCTGAATATTAATTAAGGTACTTCACTTTGTTGTGCTAGCAGAATTCTCAGGTGCATTCAGCTGACAGGTCCACATTTGGACGGAAAGCGCATCCTGAATTCCTCTACTGGCCACAACCAAGTAAATTGCCACAAATTGTATATTTGTTTAAATACCCACATTACGGTCACTTGGTACCTACACACAGGTGTCCAGATGGTATGACAAGTCATGGTATACCTATAGGAGATTCAAGGCTAATGGAAAACACTGCGAAATATTGTGTTCATTTTTGGAAGATGAATACATTCACATTTGATAATACAGTTAAATCATTAGTAGGTTAGCTGCAAAACGTTTATTTCTCTGCAGAATCAGATGATATGAGAAAAAATGGCTTAATGAAACACTCAAAAAAGCGACAAGATTGACTTGAGCAGAGGAAGAATTGCAATAGTTTCTTCATTCAACTTACCTGGGGCTCTTTCTTCTTGATTAAATAATGTTGTAATATCTAAAGGATATACTTTAAGTATCCGTCCAAATGAAGGCCCTTGATCAGGTGTCTGTGTTCCAGGTGCAGCAATTTCACGCACCAAACTACCGTCTGCTTTGAAACGTGATAACCATCTCATACATGGGAATAAGATTTCATAAGCTGGAACATCTGGTGACGACAAATTGCTTTCTTCTTCATTATTTGATGGTTTATCCAAACATGAGGAGTTCTGAGCACACACTTTTAATGAACTATTTGTCGTGTTAGGAGTATTCGGTATTAGCCTTAAGCATATTTCTTCAGGTAGCCATTCAGGGTATTCCCCGTAACCATCGTGATTTAAGCGTATCTTGTCGATTTCACCGAAATCATTTAAAGGTATCTAAAAAGGAGGGTGTAAGAATAAGTTGCATTACTACTAATATTTTTTCAGTTCGAATGAACCATAAAATTTATTACAGTTCAAATCATCTTACTTTGTAGCTTATTTGATGTTTCAATTTTTCAACATGGAAAGTCTGTTCCACAGTTTTCACTTTACTTAAATTCTTAGACAAACTGTAGTAGAGTATTCCGAAACGTATCAGAATGTTTTTACGATGAAGATAAAGCATGTGAATAAGAAAAGAATTTCAGTGTAAATAATCCTTCATAGTACTTAGAAGAAAGGAAGTAGTGTTCAGCCTTTGAATTTTCAGTTCATCTCTCCAATCAAGTAGATGGTTGTATCTCGTAAAGTTGCGTATTCGAAATGTGCTATCCATGTTGGTTTTTTCCACAGCTAAGTAGCTTTCAAACTGTCCAACTGTGGTGTCAGTGAGGTTTACATTAAAAAACACCCAGCTGAAGTAGTATGAGTTCACCGCTGGGGAATTCGACTAAAATAAGTGAAACGGCCATACAGTTAGCGAAATGCAGCAGCATCAAGAACTTTCAACTACTCTTGTATTCCAGAAGTATATCATATCACTAATTCGAAAAAATAATAACTAGCTGCGTAGCGTATCTTTTTCATAATGACCAAATGCTTTTGGGTAAATAAATCACTTTAAACATCATTTCAGACTACTATGATAGCCATCTGTAACTTCTGCAGGACAGTACAGTTTACCAATGACGACTTCTTTCAAGAAAACAATTAGTCTGTAAGGGACTTAAATTAACAGCCTATGGTGGTGATGATGACTGTCTCGGTAAATGGAAAATAAGAACTACATTTTGTCACTTTGTGAAACAGTGTTATTGTGATGCAAATGAAAAAGTCATCTTACCATTGTTATTTTTCAGGTTCATTTTAACCTTGAGTTTCCCTACAAACTATGTTATTAAACCCTCTCATCTCTTCAAAAAGTTCCTATGTTGATTTTAATACCTGTCAACCCTTTTGAGCTACTCATGTCCATAAATCCAACCAGAAATTTTCACTCTTCATATGTTTTAATAGTGAATACAATAATCACTACCACTCTATAATTGGCAGCGCAACTAAGAAAAAGGAATACTCTTAAAGAACAAAAGTGCCAAGATATACACGAGAGTTTATCAAACATAGGTTCGAAACCTCATCCAAAAAATGATTTAATTGAAGAATGTAAATCGTTATTCTAGTCAGATGCACACAAGTAATTCTAATATGTACAAAGTGCTTCACGTGCACTCGGGAAAATGTTGACTGCTATCTTCAAACAGAGTTTAACACAACAAACAGTTTTATCGGTTTTATGCTAGCTTGTGAATAATACATTTTTTTCGTCATACTAACCGTTTCATAACCGTTTATTTACTCTACCAATAAATTTGTGCTTCTTGCCCGTAGAATCAGTAACTGGATATGAAGTGCGTAAGATGATGTGATAACTGATGAGAAAATGAAATCACAAGAACTGAACAGATTTTGCTTCATACCAGTGTTTCACTTACCGCGCTTTTTATCCAGAAAGTGTAGTACTTCGAACTCATATGTAGCTTCATCGGAGCCTTTCGTCTAACAAGTGGAGCACACACAGTCTTTGTGATCGAATACTGCTGCAAAATGGGGAGAGCAAGTGACATAGTCCAGATAACCACTAGAAAAGGCATACCTAAAGCTGAATTACTCTAATTTAAGCTGCCTTGGCATCAGGCACTCGAAAACCGCTGAAACAAGTATTATCCACATCAGCCCAAAGTAATATTCGACGGCGTACAACTTGTTACTTATGAGTAGTAAACTAATATAACAGGAAAAACTACAAACTTACTTCAAAATAATCGATACTCCCTGCACAAAACGGCCCAGGTAATGTTTTGCTTGTTGCATTAGATCCATTTGTTTCATTATTTTGTTCAATTGGTGGGCTACCGTTGTTCGGACTTAATGTACAAATATATGCCGATCTCAGTAATATAGGCTGTGTGGATTGATGTTTATTACAGATTGTAATTGTTGGATTTGCTGTACAAGTATTTGAATACACTTCACCTGTCTGTGGGTCATGCTGACCAGATTTTATGAATACCTGACAAACTGAATTACCAAAGGTAAAATTACGATGTCACTAGGATGTAACTATAGGAAAATGTGAATATCATATAAATAAACTACAAAGAAAATAGTGTTCATCATGTAACGGGATAAATGAAATCCGAAGACTGGTCTTAAATTACTGCTGGAAAAACAGTATGCAGGTGAGTGAACATAAGGTTTTGTGAGCCAAGAGACCAAGATTTCAGAACCAACAGTTATAGTCACTGAAAAAAAATTTCTAAGGTTGATTTTTGAAAATGTTTCGACAACATCGTCTGTATAGACTATGTGACTGAATGTTGATTCCTGTTTTGTCTTATGACATGTTTGAACTGCGTTTCGATCGGTGAGAGTTTCATTGTCCAACGGGACAGCATGACAGGCATAAGTTCACTACCTGGGTTACTACTACTGGTTACCATTCTTTGATCTTTCATTGGTATTCGACATTTTTAAAATTTATCCCAGATACAATTTAGTCAAGTTCAATATATAACTAGCAGTTGAAAAAACTCATGTTTAAAGCGAACGGGATTTGTCAAGGAAAATCAGTAATGCTTACTGGAAAAATGCAGTTCTTCTAACCATCTAGTTTTGCTATGTAAACATAACTATTCTCTTCAATTTCACATCAAAAGTTATGCACACAAACAATCACTTCTTCGAAAATGTATATGTTCACTCGTGCGTTTAATGTAAGGTTCTTGTGAAGGCGATGTTACTTAGGAATACTTCCCTATCGAACCGTATTGAAATGGCAAAAAGAAACACCTGACAACCCGGGTTTGAATCTGAAGTATAACACAGACTCCCGTCACAAACAATTCCTCTCTTGTATCACAAATAACACTAGAAATGATTTACCATTATTGTCCCTATAATCCCTTTTACTGCACTTGTATCACAGAGCTTTCTCGCAATCTTTTTACTTTCTTTATTTCCAGAGTTTGTATCATATCCTTCTTTTCGTGTGATTTTTAGTCAACTATTTATTTGTTGAACGCATTAAAACATTACTGGTATCAAGGCGTTTTCCCTCTTACAAGGGTGTTAACACTGTAGATATGTAGAATTGTTTTACTTTCAAAAAAGGTATAAGTATATTAACAGCAGTTAATAATGTGGGTTTTTTGAGAGTTAGTGGGTTTTCATTTTTGGTTATCCGAATGTATCATTCTATCTTATGAACAAACTGTCTAATTTCGCTGTCAGAATAATTCCTGAACCAAAGGACTCACTTTGAAGCTACACTTTTGAAACTGAGCAATGATGTCAGTCAATTTTGCCCATGCCCATTTGATTTCACAATATCTCACTCACTAGATGGAAATAAAATGAATAGTAAGCTTTTTGGTTGCTTGGATCTAGAGAGTTACTAGTCACCAGAAGAATTTATGGACTATGATTCAAGCGTGTAAAAGTTGTCTGGACACACCTTGACAATTTGAATGCATTCGATTCACGAAACTCTGTAGTCCACTTCATGTGTTTCACTTGACTCTTGAGTACCGCCAGCAGTAGGGGTAGGTGGAACAGTAGCTTGGAGATTAATTTTACTTCGATGATTCATAAGAATATATCCACTGATGAGTTTTATGTTATATATTAGGCGCAAGCACTTTTAAATCCACGATAAATCTACTAGTATCCCGAAGTGAACTTCGTCTACAGGCGGTTACTAACAGATGATTTAAAGTGCTCCTTGATTTAGCCTTAAATATTTGACATGTACGGAGAGCGAGAGTAGACAAACCTTTATTCAGTCAAATACCGTTATAGCTGAAGATTACGGTACTGCTGCATGCAGCCATAAAATAACTAAAAATTAAATGGTACTTCTTAGGCAAAATCAGCAAGAATTAACCACATTGGACTGCAGTAAACACCACCAAAACATAAGATAGCCAAAAACAGAGTGGAAAGTAATTGTTGAAAGGGGGAAGAAAATCAAAATAGATTATAATGTTTCTCGGAAATCTTACTGATAAATACATTTACTGTTGGATTATCGTGTCTGCAAAAGCGAATTGAAAAAACAAACATGATAACTCCATTTCTGTTGTTGGAAAACTTTGAAAATATATTATCACTATGTATTTATTTATTCCATTATGTAAACAGCGATCATTATCGATTATTAAAGCAAATGATTCCTTTTGGAAATGTTTTTCCTGTTTTTAAGATAACAAAACATATCCTAACTACTTACCCATGCATGAACCAAATAAATACCTTTGTTACATTCTTTGTAAAATTATCAGTCTGTCCGTACAAGTAGGCGGATACAAAGGAGGCAAACAATGCATGCATGTAAGTAGACACACAGACTACGTGATGAAAAACGTTATTTATCGTTCATTTATCAGTGTCATGTGAGTGAATAAGCGATCAATATTAACTGGAGGGAAAGGAAGTAAAGCAGAGCTTCTAGTAAAAGTACACCATTAAGTGGTTTATCATCACAAGCTGAACACATTTGAGTAGGCTGTAAAAGTTAAGTTCGACTTGTAAATAGTTTTTTACGTCAAATACTAAGGAAGTACTATTAGACGGTAGTTTCATTTTTCATGACACGGTTACATTGTTGGCTTATGGAGTGCTAAATCTTGAGAAGGTGAAAACGAGTTTAGGTAATCATTGAAGTATTACAGTCGTTCTGCTGTTATGATACAGTAATCCTACACCATTCCTAAGCAAAGTGTCTTTTTAGATAGAAATACTCCCTTACACAGGTTAGTTAGAAATCAATGGCTGTTAAGTGATTTACCAAGTATAAATAACTGTCGAATAATCTGAGGAAATCAATCCGTCTGCAAGATAAATGTGGCTTTCAGGATTCCCTAGGTGATTTGTGTTGCTGAAACATAGTAAGGTATCTAAATAAAAGTCACCAGATCATGATTTAGTTAAGTGTGAAAATATTAAGTATTGGTATTAGATTATTGTTTGATTCAAGAAATTAAGTTGTGACTGTCGAAAAACGTCACTTAGTTTACTAGCCGGTCCTAAGCCCGGAAAAAGAGGGAAAGTTGTGCATACGCCTAGCAACCCTACCCCGAAAAACCAATCCAATCGCTAAAGAAACTTCAAAGCATAGACGAAATATAAAAAACAAACTTATTCTTCGCTGGAATCGGGGAGACAAAATGACGCCGATTGGTGAAAGTCTACGGGAAGCCAATTGACGATGTGTCTTCTCTTCTCTCGTTGAAGGCAAAAGTAAGCATGGGGATGTGGAACGTAAACTCAATGTTTGAAGCTGCCTGTCAAGGCTGTCCAGATTGCAAAAGAAATTAGAAGATATGGCATTAAAGTGCTAGGAATCTGCGAAAGCAGATGGAATTGAAGTAGACCCACCAAACCATTAGCTGGAGTGTCAATAGACTACCCTGGTCACCAAGACGACAACCACGAGCACACTGAGTTTTGAAATGGCTATCATAATGTCCCCAGCAGAATCTAAGACTCACATGGAGCAGGAACTAGTCTCCTCTGAGATCTTGACATCAAGATTCAACTCAAAAGGAAAAAAATGTTACAAACATACAATGCCACACACCTACAAAAAGCAAATATTAAGAGAATCGGATAGCCTTCATTTCAATGTGAAGAAAGTGCAGACACAGCCCACTGGACACAAGATCAAAAAGAGGAGCAGATGTAGGTTCACCACATTCACTATCTAGTGCAATGAACCTTCAAAATCAGGTTGGAAACCTTCACAGAAGCTGGTGATAGACGAGCAAAGTTCAAGTTGAACACCCAGAACAGAAAGTGAACTGAAAGACGAAACTACAAAGAACATCTTCACATCCGACAGTCATCAGGAAAACATGGGAGACATTAAGCACCTTCTTCGAGGAAACACACTGGAACTGTGTGGAAGCGACGTGGAAGGAAATTTGGATAACCGTGTTAGGAAGGAAGGAGAGAGAAGACAAGGGAATGAATCCCCACGAACGCATGGAAGCTGATAGAGGAGGGAGAGGGAGAGGGAGATGGTGAAGGAGAAGGAGAAGATGAACGAGTGCAGTGCAGTGCAGTGCAGGGATGAACAACGAAAAGAGAAACTCACTACAATCTACGAAAGACTACACTGGACAAGGAAGAGAAGATTGAGTGCAAAGACAAAGAGCACTTCTACGAACCGATTGTAAGTGAAGCAGAACAGGCTGCAGGTAGGAGAGACAGAGGTCTGACAATAGTATATCAAATAACCAGGTTACTATTTGGGAGAGAAGAGATCAACGCACATGAATCCAATGAAAGTTGGTGAAGGAAACTTAGTTCCGAAAGAGAGACGATAAACAAAATAAAAGATGGGCTGACCACTTCTAAAAGCTCTTGAATCGACTACCACCTGCCACTCGTCCAAAATTTCCACCAGCAGATCAGCTACAGATGTGTCAGTTAACACAAGTCCTCCAACAAGAGCATCAGTGAAGTCTTGAACGCCATAAAGTTGCTGGAAGCCGAGAATGCAGCAGGTTCAAATGGGATTCCTCCCGAAGCACTGAGAACAGACGCAGAGACGTCAGCAGCGGACATGCTGACACCACTACTACAGAAGTTTTGGAAGGAAGGGAGGAAGTGAATGGAAGGTACCTGGTGGCTGGAGGAAGGATTGCCTTGTCAAACTCCCAGGGAAGGGTGACCTAAGATTTTGCAAGAATAGAATTGGCACGGAATAACGCTACACTCCTTGTCCACACCACGCAAGCAGAAGATTAAGTTACATCATCCTGTAGAGACTAAAACATGCTCTGCATTCAACATTACGACGAGAACAGGCTGACTGACTGACTGACTGACTGGCTTCAGGAAGAGCAAATCATGTGCGGATCAAATTGAAACGCTACGCTGCGCTGCGCATCATCATGGAACAGAGTGTAGAATGGCAGTCAACTCAACTCTACCTCAACTTCATCGGTTTTGAAAAGGCCCTCGACAGCGTCGACCGAGAGGTGATTTGTCAGACAGCTGCTTCAACACTACAGTTCCACTTCCACAAACCTTTATCAACCTCGTTCAACAGCTGTATAGTATGCTATATACTGCTACACGCCAAGTGATTCACAATGGAAAGCTCAGTGAGTGACACCTTTGAAGTGAAGACAGGAAGGAGTAAGACAAGGTTGCTGCCTAATATCACCGATCATCTTCCTGGTTGTGGTCGACTCGACTGGATCATTCAACAAGCTGTGAGGAGAGAGAAGATAGGCATACACTGGCTGGACCGATGAGAAGACCCCGAGAAGATTTGGATTTCTCCCCCGACGATGATGATTTATGTCTACTGTCTAATGTTGCACAAACTGGAAGATGTACAGGCGAAAACTAACAAGTTGGCAGAAGAGGTGAGGCAGCGAAGACGAGACTTCCTTCAGGTGAATGTAGAGAAGACAGAGGTGATGAGGATACCCAACCACAACAACCACAACAACAACAGGCGCCTGTCATCATGAACGTGAGAGATGTGAGGGAAGTTGTCTCTTTCACCTATCCACCTAGGTAGCACCGTCAAAGCCAACAGGGATCAGAAAGACAGCAAGACAGGCCTTCCTTCATTAACCTGAAATCAGTGTGGAGATCTACTCCACTCCACTCCACTCCACTCCACTCAGTATAAAGCGTGAACAAGACCCCGATCTCCAACACCATTGTCAGTCAAGTGAGTCGTCAGTGCTTCTATGTGATGGTTGAGAGACTTGACGCGTTACGAAAAGCACTTGCAACAAACTGCAGACATACATGAACAGCTGGTGCCTACGCTCATTCGATACTGACACTGAAGATGAGATGGATGGCCAGCATGATGAGAATAAGCAAGGAGGGACTCTGGCTGGCTGTCAACAAGTCGAGTAAGAACCTATCGTCCAACAAATATGTAGAAGAAAGTGTAGACGGATTGGATTGGATTGGATTGGATTGAGCATACACTGAGAAGACCATTTGGGGATATCACGCACGAGGTCAGGCCGTCGAGTTGAACGAAGCGAAATGGGGAACGACGAGTTGGGTGTGGCAGCTGAGGGTGACATGGGGGAGATGGTGTGAGGAAGAAATGGTTTTTGGGGAGTGGTTGAGTGGCGTGGCCGGGTTCAAAAGACTGTATAGAACAGAGTGAAACGGGGATGTGCTACTGAAGCCCTACTTTCCACTAGGAACTGAAGGCATAAATAATAAAATAATAATGACTGTCAAATTAGTAGTTGAGTCGCCTTATAGTGGGCGTCCATTTTGAAATTCACATTGGTCAAGTAGTTCTCTATACTCAAACTTCAACCCCCCTGTACGTGTGTATATATTACTCTACCGACTACTGCTATCCCACATAATCTAATCTAGTGTAAAGTTTGTCTTGAACTCCCAATCTTTAAATCGGAATAATAACTTGGTTTTTATCTTAATAATGGTACATGTTCCTGCGTGGCTCATACAGTTCTCGTAGCTCATACAAACCAAGGTTAACTCAAAAAGTCACTTCAGCAAGCTATGGGATAATCAGTTTAGACTCTTTATTCTAAGACAAAGACAACCTTTTCGGCGAAACAGAGAAACTGAATGACTATTTCAGAAGTTGCTTAGATGATATCACGGTCATCCCAACTTAATTTATTAGATTTAAAGCACATTCAGACTCGTATTTTTCAAGAAAACAATAATGTCGGGCAATATAATTACTACCCTGACTGCTTATACCTTATACATAATTTACTCCAGTCCCCTGAACAGTTGGTGTGAATCTAATCTGACATTTAATAAGGTCACACTAGTTCGGATAAAATTCTTGTCCAGCCTGTAATCAATCGAAACAGTGTTTAATCTAACGACTGGACGTAATTTCTCAACTCCCCAAGTTTAGATACTGAATTCTCAAAAAAAACTTCCCCAGATCTTTTATAATTTGATATGCAACTATTACCCTGTTATATAATACCATCTCCATTCGATTAAAATATAGCCTCTCATGCAATTCTCTATCGTAACAGGAATCTGTTCAGGAAATGTGTTTTAATATTTAAAAGCGTACTGAAATTATTAGGGTATACGGAGATCGGCTGTGTAATACACCTATAGTACTTCTGAACCATTTAGCCGAATATCAAGTTTTTTTGCTAAATAACTATAAGCTTGATTTCTTTTCTTTGGGATTCATCGAAAATCTATATGTTGATCGTTGCAGAAAACCTTGAGCTGATGAATAAATGAATAAACATTGTATATCTTTTAAAGGAGCGTCACACCGGTATCCGGAAGGCATTGATCCGAATCCTGTCGCAACTTAGGTTTTCATCTCCCCTTCAGTCATCACTACGTATTTATAATTTAGCTATTAATAGATGTAAAGTGTTCCATTTCATTCTTCAATGTAGTCTCCATACAAAATTTGCGGTGAATAACTTCAAATTTTGTTCATTTTCCATTGAACATGCGTGTGGTCATGAACATACCACTCTTACTAAGGTTGTTTTAAAACTAAGAGTTGAAGATTACATCTAATGAAATCTGTCAACAGCTGAAGTAAATGTGTTATCATTAACAGTTTTATGTTAGCTTGTGGTACTAAACGTTGCCTACTCTTTCCATCCTCAACAGAATGGTAATTGAATAGATGCCATGCCTAAATGAAGTACGACATTCTGCTCTACTCATTTAAAAGAATTCAGATCTTGGATATATGATTAGACTAGAAGTCTGTGAAGAGAAAGCTTGTATGGAACAATTCTGCTGTGCGAGGAGAATTTGTCCGGGTACACCGATGATATGCTGAATCCCATTCAAGCGAAACAGCTGTCCGTGAAGATCAAACATATTTGGCTGAAACGAAAAAGAACTCTGGTGAACCTGGTGATTAGAAACAAACGTTGTCAGCGTTCACAGGGTGTATTAAACTTGTTAGTTCTTTGAAATATAAGGTGTGAGATGGAACAGTTTATATTTGCTATTTCACTAACAAAATGAGACGAGTTAGCTATTAGTATCATTTAATCAGTTTGACTTTATTCGTTCAGTCAAGGATTAGCTGCACAACTGTATGCGTCGCTATTTTTATAACGCGTTTATTCCGTTCATAATGTACAAAACACACCGTTACACATATTTCTCTCAAAAAAATCATTTGATTTCAAACAGTCACAAATATTCCGTATAAATCTTACCGACGTATCCACCATCTGAACTACAGACTTTACTGAACTGTTCATAGGGTTGTTTTAAGGGATGTAATACCGAACTATTTGGTGATCTGGTTGAATGCCTCGTACGACTTGCACTGCGGCTGCAGTATTTACTCTGCTGTTTTATTGAGTCGATTGGACGAAAACGTTCTAGGCCAGCTGCTACAAACTCACTAGGACCATCTAGTATTTCTCCCAAAGTCTCAATCTAGAAATGAACACAATAACAGGGAAAGAAATTGTAGATGTTAGAAAAGAGAAGTATACATTAGATGCAAAGAAGATACGGGAAAACCACCAGTTAAAGCATTTGAATAGTATAAGTTCTTATGAAAGCGTAGGAAGTAATATTAGTTCTTAATATGGCTGTTTCAATGGATGTTTTCTCTCACTCACGACTGTTAGTCACAAGCATCTTACTAAAAAAAGTGACATGCAATAAAAACTCTTCTAAGAAAGCTGACTGTACTTACAACTAATAAGTATTTCAGGTTGATATTAATCATGTACTGACACCAGCGAATTGATAGAAGTAGGAAAGTGCGAACCGATGGATTCTGACCCATTGGCCTAACCGTAACGTATTCATCATAAAATCCAAAGGTCGTGGGTTTAGTCTCTGATAAGGTGATGGGTGCTCATTGTTTAGGGGTCCCATACTAGGAAGAAACAACTGTCCAATGCTCTCAGGTTTTCAGTGGTTCTCCAGTTGATATCAGTTCGTTATGAATATCAACTTGAAGTCGATAAAATCCCCACAAACCTCCAAACTGAGTAACAAATATTTATTTAAGCCAAAAGGATGACGATAGAGCATTCTACTATAAAAAGATTACTAAAAAAGTCAGACTGAAAACAGGTGTTACATGGAAAGTGAGAAAATGCCCCAGACGACTCAAAAATTGCAAAACCCTAAGCGGTAAAAAAGAAAATAAATATTTATAATCAAGCAGAAGGATACTAATGTATTTTGCCTTGACTAGGTTGATAAGTGTTTACAATGTTTCTGTGCAAACATTCAGGTTTCAGCTTATGAATGATTAGTGAGTTGACAGTTTATACGTGGCTTAGAGTCAGGTGTTCAAGAACAGATTCCTTGACGTTCTTCCTTCTTGATGTTGATGGTAAAACTCAAATATGTTAAGCGTTTGGTACTGAGCATAGTCTATGTGGGCTGTTCTACAGTAAAATGGAGTGGTAAATGTACGCTGGGAGCAGCATACACTGTTTGTAGTTCGACTGCACAGAATTCCCTGTGGAAATAATGTGGAGAAATCCTTTTCGGATTTGCATCTCACTATTGTTCTTGGATTCTAAATCCATGTAAATGAGTTTTCTACAGTCTGTTTGGATTTTGTTCCAATGAAATGTGATGTCACCGAAAAGAAAAGTCTCCTATTTCGCTAGCCACCAAGTAAACCACAGTACACTGACCTGGATTGTTTCGTATCTATCAACAAACTTTAACCTGACGTATTCCTTATTATTCATTTAATGCCCATATTTGTTACTTTATTATTCGAATCAAAGTGGCTTCGTTTCATTCTTGAAAAGTTTTTCATAGTCTGTGTACCACGTACTTATTATATGATCTATGGATAGGAAATCCCTTTATCGAATAGCCAGACTAGTACACACTGTCTCATATTTGAGCGATATGCCTGTTTTATCTCGATAAACTCTTGAGTCTCAGGAGACAAGTACACTATTACAGAAGAAGGAATTCCTAAGTCTTATGTCACCTAGTATTAAATCATCAGATGCAGTCAATGGGCACATTAAATATCATGTGCATATAAACTGCTTTACAGCACAAAAATAGACAAACATGACGCTTTAACATCCTTCACTGTATAATATTTATGGTTTCATATTGCATAACTGTACTAAACAGTAGTTGGAAAAGATGTGTGTACATTTAGTGCATCTGAGCTGTAGACATCTATTTTCAATATTGGTTTATTCAAAGTAGAGTTTGGAATCTGCACCTTATCAGTTATGCAACAATTAAGACAACAGATGTTTTACAATAAAGTAAAATATGGAGGGCAAGTTAAATGCAAACAACCATTTGGCTGATTGGCAATGGCGCCAAATAATTGTTGATCTCCTTTTATGTTACTTTTTTCGAAACTTGAAGAAAAATTGTCTCAAGTGCATGCTACTGGAATCAGTGTTTCGTATCATCACTGTGTACGTGCATGAAAGAGCCAGAAATCTCTGGACAGATTCTAGCTTAATTACTGCAATTATCTACATAAAACAAGAAAGAATTGTTCAATAGTCTCCATTTATTCTGTACGCTACTCATCAGCATACGTCCATTATTTATGCTAGAATTTAAATTAAAAACTTCAAATCGTAACTTCTTGAATGAGTCTTCTCTGTCTACTTGTTTATTCACTTCAAAATGTTATGTTGTATCATGTGAATCCAAATGCTTAGCAAGTAATAAAAAGTGTTTATTTCTATGCATAAAGACAGAAACGAAAAAAATGATGGTCAATGAGTTATTTGCTTTTAATGTGCATCCGATTAGGGACACCTGTCTATCCCTTGTGGAATCGTAAATGTTTGTGATTTTTTCTCTCACCTATAGTAATGAAACGAAATTTTCGAATACCCGTAATCCTGTTTATCACCTAACTGATCTCCATTATTATTATTATCATCAGTTTTGTGACTCGGATGGATTGTCAGAAAAATTGCCCCATAAGGATTAAATACATTAGAAATAATTTGCCACTATTCAGTATAATGTAAGAAAGATTATCCTTTTTGCCATAGGTCCTTTTGAAGCAATGTTGACGAAATAGGTAGTATGCTTAGTCACCAGGGAAAACGATTCGTGTTTATTTCGCTTGCAAAAATGTCTGAGAGCATTGTTGTATTCTGTTTATATATAGTCGAATATAGTCACTATTGTTATATACACTGATGCTGATCTTCAGATTTGTTCGATCAGATTAGACTGATCTGAACAGTGAACTGCTATTTCCCTCATTTAAGCAGAAAGGTTGCTCATCACTGATGTACGTGGACGAATTTGACTCTCAGAGGAATCAGACTGCTCAAATTTGTTGGACTCTGGACTTTGATTTCGATTAAATGGTTAAATGTAAAGTAGGACACTTTGTAAGAGCTTTATATTTCAGGTTAATATTTCCCACAGTTAATTTTCCAACAATCTTTGCTGAAAACCACTTGGCAACAGTCAAAACCATAATGTCTGAAACAAAAGTATCTGTTGTCAAATTTCACATTACATTATTTGTTGTGTTTAAAATCACTGGAGGTTGATAATAGATTGGAATAGCTTCACTGAAGTGATGTTGAGGAGGGTAACGGGAACAGGGTTCAGAAATGAAAACAACTTCCTAATGGTCTGTCATGTAGTGATGTGAATAGTGAAGGATTTTACTTAACTGGGTGTTAACTGTTTCCAGATGTAAAATATCCCTGTTATTTGACTAATGAACAAGTGAGAAGAAGGCGAATGAAGAACGTTATAATCATGAAACTACCATCGCTGATGAAATCAGGAACGAATAAAGGAGCATATTAATACAAAATATCATGTAGATTGTATGTGCTTCTTTTACCAGCAAAGATCAGTCTTTAAGTGATGAATGACCAATGTTTCTATCATGCACATCTTTTGAAAGTGTACACCTTTTGAAATCTTTGAGGCATGACACCTACTTCTTGTGCAACAGGTACCAGTTATTATTTATTGATACTTGTGATTTTCCGTTGTTATGCTGGGTCAGAGTGGCATATAGTCTACTATGCAGATGTCCCGATAATGTCTGACTATTCACCATGTTATAACTTGAATGGTGATGGACAAAAAACCTGTCCTGGATTCCAATGTTAAACGCCATCATCATAGTGAATATTCGAGTAATGCCAAGGCAACCGCATAGGAGTCAAAATGCCAGCAATGACCCAACATCTCAACCAAATTTAATAACGAGAAATCACGAGTATCATTCAATAAAAAAAAACAGAATAACGCTCAGAATTGGATTTGGAAAAAAACATGCTAATATACAGCTAATTTAAACAATGCACTTTTGAGGTTTGTGGGGATTTATTTATTAATTTCAGGACGGTACTTATCATGGAATGACATCAGTTGGAGAAACATTGAAAACCTGGGAGAACTGGAAGGGTGTTTCGTCCTAGTATGGAATTCCTGAACATTGGGCACCCTGATCTCAGCAGGGATAGGACCCAGGACAATCAGGTTCCTCTGCAAGCACGTTGCCAATGAGTCACTGGTTCGGAATCCATACAACTTCATAAGAATAAGTAGTCTCGAGGGTAAACTCTGTAATGACTCAAAGAGACAGTTTGTCGTTTATGCATCCACTCATCAGTCATCGACTTAAAAGGTGGTCTGAGATTTGATAGTGAGGAATGTCTTTCGGGACTCAGTGACTTTTCGCTCCACTAGTATCCTCTTAACACTACAATCTCAGTCTATCATTCACCAGTGAACTGCCGTTTATCTCCAGCAATGTTTAGAACGTTAATACAGCTTCACGAACAGTAAATGAAAAGTATCTCATCATAACTAAGGTTGATCTTATTGCTGACAGCATCTCATTGTTTGGGTTTTCTCGTCGAATTTTGTAATCAGAACTATCATGTTCACCGTCACATAAGTTTTAATTCCCCAGGTTACTTTAGTGGATTGTCTTATTTTTAAACAGACAGTTTTCATTGACACTTTATACGAGTGAAAATTTGCTTTACTCTGCTGATCGTAATCAACAAGCTTTATGTTGTTTCACTTGCGATTAACAACAATAATACTGATAATGAAATAACTTTAGTTCCCATGATACGTTTTGAAAGTAGCAATATAATTTTTATGCTATCTGCCTTTTATTAATGTCATGGTTCATAGAGTGCATTACATTAACATCCATGTAAAGTTGTACTTCACGATTTTCTCAATGATAAATGTTTACATTTGTGGAAAGTGTATCTATATTTCCTCAGAAAAAAGAAAGGGAACATGGTTTTTAGCTTTGATCATAAATTTTTCAGGTAATAAAAGTGAAATAGCTACTTTTTTGTAAATGAAATATTGCTTTTAATGCAATTATATACTAATAAATTAAAATATAAGACTAGCTTAATTTGTAGGCTGCTTGACATTTTATCTTTATTGTTTGGTTAAAAAGTCGGTGTTCCATT